ATGACAGCAAAACCTATTATAGCGGAGATGAAAAAGAAAGCGAAGCGGCAACAGAAAACGGCAAGAGTAAAGAAAACTAGGTGAGCAACGACCAGTGCGAGCGCAAACAACTAATGGAGAAAAGCGCAAAAAAAAAGTTAAATAGTAACAGAAACAGAAAAAGAAAAGTAAGAAAATCGAAAAAAGACAATAATAAAGCCAACAGTCTGTGTATGCTACATGTTGCACGTATACTTGTTCCGTGGTTGCCACACGCTTATTCCGCTGCTTACGCGCGTTTTGCTCTTTTTCCTTGGCTTACTGCTGCTACCATAAATTTTCATTCAACATTCTTTGTGGACATTTCTCACTTCCGTTTACCTGCCGCCATTACTAAAGCGAAAACTGTGGCAACAACAACCACCGATGCGGCATACAACAGCAGCCAGCCCAAAGGTAACTACAACAAATCATTCATACAACCGCGAATTCGTAGAATCTTCCTGCTGGCAATAAGTTAGCACAACTCTCTGTCTGTCCTGGTGTGCTGCCGCGTTGCATGCCATCCCCCGCCTTAACGCCGTCGCGACTTTTGGTCGTTCGTTCGTTTTGTTTCGTATACCAATTTAGCATTCAGACGTGCCGCAATTGTAGTAATGCCCATATGTTATTGCTGCTATTGTTGTTAGCAACTTGGCAATTTCTTCTTTTTCGCCCCGCTCACCATTCTCGGGCACAGACACACCAACACCTGTGCATGCAATACAGCTTACAATTGTAGCGTCAACATTTTTGAAATATGGCTATCAGCGCAACGGGTCAATGAGCAGCCAGCCAATATGGTGGAACCGGTAGATTTCGTTTGCAGTGGATATTAGCACAAAGCGCCGTGCTTGGGGCATATTACGAGCACAATTGCTTGGTTTGGTGTAGAGTTTGAACCGATCAAGTGGGGCGGCACGGCGCGGCGGTGTCTATTATGTGGTCGCCGATTGCGCGGCCAAAGTTGCTGAGGTCATTGGGGGGCGAGATTTTGGTATTGTCTTCTAGACAAAAAAGAAAAAAGGTGCTTGGTATTAGCGGTCGAGTGGTGCGAGGCTAAAAGGCAGAGGGTCACAGCGAGTGAGTTGAGTGCGAGAGACAAAGCGCCAAACAGCACATTCGAACATCGTGTTGCAGGCTTCGCACGTCACTTGATGCTGGCAATTTTAATGGAAAAAGTTTCGGCTTGCATCACGTAAGCTCGCCTCATCAATCTTGCAATCAAACGAAAGATGTTACAACATCAAGACGCGACGTGCGCTGGCGTTTCGGCGTAGTGGTACGCGCGTAGTTCTTGTTACAAGTGTTCTGACAGCTTTTGGGAATTATTTGCAAAACCCACGGAAATGGACACTTAAGATCTTAAACGCAGAACTACACAAACTTAAAAAGTTCTCGAAAAGAATGTGAGAAAGTGTGAAAAGACGGGAAATGTTTGGCGGATTTAAGGCGGCAACGCTTGTAATAGTATAAATGCGAGCACAGCGTAGGTAATAAATAACCAATATTAGTGAGCGTCAAAAATGACCCTTAGCCACGGAAGGATGTAAATAAGCTAGTTTGAAGTGCTTATAATGATGCCCCTTTGAAACATTTTGTCACTTCATATTTCGGTCTTATAATGTAGCACAAACTCGTGGAGCGATTTCACATATTTTCGGCAGAAAACTAAGATAACTCACATACTTATGACCAATATATGCGGTATAAAGTCAAGCGGAAGTTCGAAAATCTTTATGGTAGATATATGGGGATAGGAGAGGTATTGACCTGATTTTATTCATTTTTGACACAAGGGCACATTATTATCGGCGAAAAGTTCTCTCCAAATTTCAATAATAAATCTTATAGATTGATCAATATTTATAGTAGAAAGTCGAATGATTCAATTCAACCCATCTGCAATACAAACCCAAGGAAAAATAATAATCTCCAAATTTTAATAATAAATCTAACAGATTGACCGATATTTATAGTAAAAAGCCGAATGATTCGACTCTACCCATCTGTAATACAAACCTCTCTTCGCCAAGGAACCGGTATACCAAGTTTCATTAAGATATCTAATTATACCCGTAACAAGGTTTATTAAGTTTGCCACGAAGTTTATAACACCCAGATGGAGGCGTCGGAGACCCTATACATACATATATATAAATGATCAGCATGACGAGCTGAGTCGATTTAGTCATGTCCGTTCGTTCGTTTGTCTGTATATAAACGAACTAGTCATTCAGTTTTTAAGATATCGATCGGAAATTTTGCACAGGTCGTTTTCTCTCCAAGAAGCTGCTCATTTACCACTATAGTATATAGTTGCCATACAAATTGACCGATTCAAATCAAATTCTTGTAAAGAATGAATCTATATGTGAAAGGTACAAGCATTATAGCTTCGGTTCAACCGAAGTTGACGTTTTTTCCTATTTCGCCTTTAAATTTCATAAATATGTATATAATTCACGATAGGTCTTCAACTATCGAAGCTGCAAAAACTTGCCTGCGTCTGCGTCACTGGGGCAATGCGCACTTGCCCCACCGCAGCACTCGAGGTCATGCTAGAGCTCCCACCGCTCCATTTAGTTATCAACTAGACTGCGAAGCATACCATGCTGCTTATGACAGCAGAGGGGTATGGGAAAGGGAAGTTAATCTCGTCTCAACAAATGAGGGCCTTAGAGGACAACACGCCACTAGCCCTTCTTCCAAGAGACGGGGTAACGAAGAGAGTAAACTTTACGAAAAAGTTACTCTCGGCAGTAAGGCGGACTGGAGCGATTCCACACTCGACCAACTGCTGAGAGGCAGCACTATTCAGCGGTACACTGACGGTTCGAAAACACCAGAAGAAATTGGAGCTGGCATTGCGGGACCGCATACCAAGCTTTCCATTCCCATGGGTTGTTTTCCAAGCATTTTTCAGGCAGAAGTGTTTGCGATTAGTCAGTGTGCAGTAATAAATCTCCAACGCAACTATCGGGGTTGCCGGGGCATAAAGGGGTAGCAGGTAACGAGCTGGCAGATGAACTCGCCCGCTCTGCTGCTGCTACCAAAATGATAGGGCCAGAACCATGCATTGCGATGGGGCCCCATACAGTAAAGGAGCTGCTCCGTACGGAAGAGAGAGCGAACAGAGACAGTCACTGGCAAAAAGCTGCAGGGATGCGCCATGCTAAACTGCTACTGGGAGGGTTCAACCTAGCCAGGTTCAGAATAATGATAAACCTCCCCAGAGACAAACTCCGACTCCTAGTCGCACTGGGCACTGTAGGCTCAAGAAACACCTGTCAAACATGGGCATGGCTCCACTTTAGTGAACAGGGATCACATTGCCTCAATAGCACCCAGCAAGTTGTTGGAGTTTTTCAAGGTGCTGGGACTTTGGGAAAGCATGTGATAGAGGAGAGGGCACAATAGACCCTGGGTCGCAGTGCAAACCTCATATTAATTCTATATCTATCTATATAAAAGGTTGCAACTACTATACTATTATCTACGCAAGTATATCAGATAAAACAAAAAATAATAAAATAACGAGAAAAATCATATCCATTTGTACATATTGCTTTGGCGTAAATTTTTTTCAGCGCTGTGTGGTAAGAAAATTTCCAAATTTCATATTGGTGAACACGTCGAATTAATTACGCTAATTGAAAATGCAAAAATGCGCATAAATTTTCGTCTCACAGCAAAGAGGCACTCGAAAGTAAGAGCGCCATTTATCATGAAAGCGGTAGCTAGCAAAAATTTCTGTAATTAAAATTCAATAAAACTTGTATTTCACTTTTAATGGTCATTCGTGCTCCTTACACATGCGTGTATGAATGGCTATTACTTTATCAATATTAAATTAAACATCGATAACTTGAATTTACTGACGCGTTATTTCTTTTGAGAACAAGGATGGAGCCAATATGTAAATTGTGGATGAGAGTGGTTAACAACACTTACTATATTTTATATTGAGAAAACGAATTCGGTGGCAGAATTGTTGGATATTTCGCTTTACTCATTTAAAATGAAGCTGATTGCGAATTTTTAAATATAAATACCAGCCAAGCAGGAAATTTATGAAATTATTTACGTTTCTCAATAGTAAGAGCCGAAGCGCTAAAGAAAAGTATTAGCAATAACCCTCGAAAGCAGGAATTACTTAATTGACTGTTACTATTATCCTCCAAGGGTTAAGTTCCTTAGAACCAAAGTAGAATATTGAGATTTGAGTAGCTTGCTAGTTGGCTTTTATACCTTTTTGCAAAAAAAAATTAAATAATTATTGCTATTTACACTTCAATAATCCGAACAATCAGCATAATAATCAAGTTAGGCCATATCTTGGAAAACCGCACGAATACAGTTATATGTTAGACCCAATACTATTCGTGTTGTTACTTCAACCTCAAATCGTCGAAATTCTCTTTTTCGATGCACAGTAAAACCCTGTAATTTTACTGCGTCGCGGGTTGCTGAACTGATTATTGAGTAACACATTTAAATCCAGTATGAAAACACCAGAATTACCACATCCAGCTACCGTTAGAGTTACTGTCAAAGCTTGCGTATTGACAACCACGTAACAGCCTTCTCCGAAATTGTATCAAACTGGGTGGTCGTTTTAATGGGTTCCCGATTTAGATCGGTATACACATTTTCATGTTTAACTTTGCGATCTTGGCCTCATGGTAGTCCCTAATAAAGGTAAAGATGTCATGATATTTTTATTTGAAATTAAAAATGATTTAAGAAGGGACTTATGTCATTCGCTCTTCGAAATGCGAACCCATAGGCCACGGCTTATTCAGAATATGCCTTGAACCAAATTGAACTAGGTTTAATAAGAGTACTGAAATCAATGGCGTGATCATCTCTTGTATAAAGGAAATAAGTCTCTTAAAAAAATACAATTCAAGGTTATATTTAAGTTCAAATTATAACAGAATTCAAATGCATGTTAAAATAAGGAAATAATGAAACAAAGCTTTAACAAATGTTATGGTTAAGTTTTATTTCTTTTTAATCCAACAACTATTACAACTATAAAATATTGTTTAAACATTTTTCCAATGCCGAAAGTTCCTCCTTTCACATGCCTGATTCGCCATAGAAGTTATCAGAAAGCTTCGAATATCTTCCAAATGCCAATTCAAGCAATGAAAATGGGCAGCCATATTGAGCGGAGCAGTCCTGCGAACGGGCTTTGCGGTAGGCATGGTCATAAACGGCGATATCGGAATTCTCATGCAACTCTCGGCTGAATATGCGTTGTTTGGGTAAACTGCATGAGAATATTTTGATTGAAAAACTTACATTTTACCAACAGAAAAAACTCAACAATTGACTCACCTGAATATGACGCGTAGAATCTCACCAACCATGCCCATTTTAGTGCGGGTAAAATACTGACGACTCTCACACAAAGCACGCAGTACACAGTCACGTCCGCTATAACCCATGCTGGAAGTAGGCAGGGAAAGAGTCATAAATTTAGTAATTCTGTTATAAATCAAAAGAATTTGTATTCTAAATGCAATGAAAAGCAAGCAAAACTATAAAAAGTTACAATGTTTTTCATTTACTTGTTCACAGCTTCAGCAATACGCTCATAGATGGCACGCTTCCTGCGTCTGTGATGCATAGCCATCGGCATTGGACGTCGGCTAAGACCATGTAGTTGATTGAGCACCCATGTGGCGTTGGGCAAATCATATCCCATGCCAAAATTTAAACCAAAAGACATATAATTGGCATTGGGATTACCAATAATGCCGATTGTAATGCAGACTGATGTCTAAAAGGATGCACGATTATGTTCAGTTGACGTATGGAAGACCAAACGAGGGTTTGAGGTTAAAGCATTATCAGTAAAAAAAAAGTATTTCGAAAGATACGGAACGGAAAAAAATTTCAGTGCAATATATATAAAACTCAAAGTTCATTTTTATTAAAGTTCAATTAATTTTAGTTTTCCTTTTGCAAAGTTCTTAATTATTGCAGCGTGTTGCAATGCATCGGTTTCGATGTTATACAAAGGCCAACAAGAATGCAAAGAGTTTGAGAATAAATACGTATCTGTTTTCAAACTTTTTGCACACACGAGCGGAAATGTACATACATTCGCAAACTGGTACGTGTAAATATAAAGGGTGCTTGTTTTTTAGAGGTACGTACATATATTATTTGTTAAAAGAATAGCTGTCATAATAACTGATGAAGATATCTTTAAACAAAGATATCTTTTTCGCTTATGACGTCATAAATTAATGTATTATCTGTCAAATTCACTTCAAAATACGAACGGACGAAACTATGCGAAAACTTCTTCCCAAACTCTGGCAAACTTATAGCGCAATTAGTATTGCGTTATATTACGATTACAAATTCGGTCTATGCTACTAAGAAAATGTCTGACCAATCGTGAAAAACCTCTACAGGATCGCTAACACAAAACTCCTGTACCTGGTGTAGTTTGCATACAGAAGAAATTATGAGTTATTTTCCCCCAGTTATTGAAATATCGATCTGAAAATTTGCAATTTTGCTTTTCTTTCCAAGAAGCTGCTTATTTGTCAGAACCGTCGATATCGGAGCCCTACAGCATATAGCTGCCATACACAAAATTCTTCGCAAAATTTGACGTGGTTTATTGTCCAAAGCTATGTCCAAGGCCTGTGAAGAAATTGTTCAGATCGGACCACTATAGCATATAGCTGCCATACAAACCGATCGATAAAATTAAGTTCTTGTATGGAAAACTTGTTTGTTCAATGATATATCTTCACAAAATTTGGCATGCAATATGGTCGAAGACAACGCTATAATTTCCGAACAAATTGTTCGGATCGAACCACTATAGCATATAGCTGCCATACAACTGACTCAATATTTTTTCTGTTGGTACTTTATATCAGTGGTAAAAGCTGATAAATTAGCTTGAATGGACCCATCGCAAATCGAGGTGCGATATTATCAAGATATGGTCGACTTAGGTGAAGAAAATATTGCAAAATTGGACCGGAGCGTCAGAATGACATTTATAAGACGCAGTTGCGTTGGCAATACGTCCGAGATTCTTTAAAAAAACTAAATTCTATAGAATTTGCTAAGTCATAAAGCCAAAAGATTAGCAATTTTGATAAGCAAGTTTATATCCACTAAAAAAACACCCTATATATGCACGCTTCATAGCATGTGTGTAATTATGGTGTTGGCAAACAGGCATTCTTCAACGCATTATAATTCCCTAACCAATCATTAATAAAGCAATAAAAATTTGCTGCCACATACGGTGAATGATGTTCCCTCCGAAAATGCCAGATATCGCTTGCGACGCGACAGTATGCGTTGCCACTGCGTTTGCAATGCACTCGACGCTGCAGGCGTCGCGGGTGAACTATAAGTGGGACAAGGCGTTTGAGAGCGCATTGGTGTTGCTGCAACTCTACGAGTTGTGCTGTCAGTCGAGCCCGCTGCATATGCTACGGACGCAGCGTCTGTAGTTGCTGTTGTTGTTGTTGCACGACGCACATCAGCCGCCACCTCTGTGGTTTGTAGCGTTGTGCTCGCAACTGCCGTTGATGTGGACAATAATGTTGTTGCTGTTTTCATCGCCGCTGTTGTTGGTATACGCGTTGTCTGCTTTAAGGGTGTTGTTGTTGTTGTTGCTGTTGTTGCTGCATTCATATTTGTTGCGACATGCGATTTTGCTGTGGGCACACACACGGATGTTGCATTACGACAATTTGGCATCCCATTTGTTGACGATAATAAATCATGACTGCGCAATGTCGACCACGCTGGTGTTGCATGGATCAATGTTGCTGTTGTTGTTGCTAATGCTGTTGCCCATTTGGATCTTGTTTCGAACGCTTCGACTATTGCTGTATTGTCTATTGCTGACTCGGCAGCTTGTGCGTTTGCTGCTGTTGCTGTTTCTGTTGTTTTTGCTGTCATTACCGATGCCGTGGCCAACGCTGATGTCGTCAAATGCATTGCTGTCGATTTTATTGCTGTTATGACTTTTGCTTTTATTGCTGGTCGCTTTGAAATTGCTAACGCCGCCACATTGCTTGTTGCTGGTGTTGTTGTTTTAGTTCTTCGTATTCGTGCTGCAACCGCAACCGTTGAGGCTGCCACATTTTGCTCGACCTCACCTACTGCTGCCGCTGCTGTTGTTGTGTGCACATTCGTTTCATTTTTGTCATTGCGATAATTGTCAACGCGTTCATTTATTGTTGGCATAACGGTCGCATTGTTGTTGGCGTGCGCACAATTGTGCGCTCTCATAGCAAGTGGCCTTGCTGCAGCAATAGAAACAAACGTGACGTTGGCACTTGCTGGTGCCGCTGCTTGTGGTGCTGTGTTGTTACTTGCTCCATTTGTTGTTTGTGTCAACTGGTTGTTGTTGTTAATACTTATTTCATCGTCATCGCTGCAATCACTCAGTTTTTGGCCGAAAAATGCCACGTCAGCTGTGTCGTTGCTGCTTATTGTGTTTGTTTTAGTTGTTTTTATTGTTGTTGCGTTGCTTCTAATAGACATTTCGGGTGCAATTGCTAGTTGCACGGCACCGGTTGGTGCTATTGTTTCTGGTATAGTGGTAGCTTGTGCTGCTGATTTGTCAAATTTTATCATGACAGTGGCCGCAACAACAATGTGCGCATTCACGTTTACAATTTCCGTTGCAATTAAATCGTAAATCAATGCATTTATTGCGATTAAACGATAATCGAATAATGCGCGTGACACGCTGCAGAGCCAAAACATTTCGCGTGTTTTGATCTGAATGCTGGTCTTTGTCGAAATACGCTTTCACCTTTTTTGAAACTTGTTGAGCTAAATAATTCGGTACTTGAATTTTATATATGTATGTATATCTATTTTCTTAAATACTTCAACGACTTTTTATTGTTTTTGTAATTAGTAATTTCGCGATTACAGTTAGCTGTTATCATTATTTTTAAATTAAAATTACTGTAGTTTCCATTAAACAACTTCCATAAATGAAATCCTTTTAACTTTCTCACCAAAGAACTGTTAACAATAATCATTGTAATCAAAAATCATTACAGTAATTTAAATAAGTTTTTTTTTTAAAAGATTATGCTAAAAACCTAGTTTTTAGTTAAGTAACCAGCTTTGCGAGTATATTTCTCGAGAACGTAAAAAGTGTGCCGAAAACGTAGAAATGAAGCCAGATAAAAACCACCTCTCCAAATTTCTGTGGGGTATTCGATAGGCTATTTTCTCCAAGTCTGGCCACAAATTGTAGTCCAATGAAATTAGGACTTCCAGACGGTTAATCATCTGCAGTTATGAAACTAGGAATATTGCTTGACGCAGAATCTTGCCGAAAGACCAAATGACCAGTTGCTCGACTGAGGGCTTTCCTGAGGAGATCATCTAGAATAAGTCGTCACATTCACTTGAAATAATTTTCGCTTGAAATAATTTTCTTTGGGACTGAATTGATTCGAACTATGTGAAGAGACCACTTCTCTTTCTGTCATCAACTGTAGACTAAACATTCTTAAAATATTAGGGTTTTTTGAGAAGCTCCCAAATTTCACCTGCTCTTTTTCCACACTTATGTAAAGCAATCAACGCAATATGATTTTTCCAACTCCATTGAATTGATTACTATATAAAAGTAGGCACGTCATACAAATCATAATAAAGAAATAACGGCTCTTTTTTGTGCGAATTCATCCTCGCTGTATGCCTTATAATCTGCGCAACAGAATTTATGGCAAGACTAAGTAAATACGTTTGAACATTACGCAAAACTTCCCCTTCGACTAATCTTCAGAAAAACGACATGCTAACAAAAAATAAATAAAATTCATAATAAAAAATTATAAAAACATTTCTATTCATAAACCTAAGTGCATCACCAACAAAGCAAATAAATTCAAAGAATAGGCGGCTTGACTAAAATCACAAAAACATCAATATTTATATTCAGAGCATCGTTCGTATCATGAATGTGTGCTTACAACTACGCTGCATGAGTTTAGTAGAATGTTGTACAAATTTGTAACGATAGATAAAAAGTTTTACTTTAACTTTAAGAAGTTTTGGGTCATTGGCATCGGAATCAAAACTGTCCGCAATCCAGATATCAACGTAATCAGTCGTCAAACAGAAATTTTGTATGGTTGTTTTTATTAAATAGTTCTTACAAGCCTACATGAGATTTAGTTGGATCTACCACATATTTGTACCAAAATAGACATTCCAACCAAGTTGATCCAAAATATACCAAATACTTTCTAAAATGCGAATAAATGTGCTATACACTCAAAAAAACAAATATGAATGTATTCAATATTATTAGTTACATATTCTTCCACTGCTATATTTATCTATATTTTGCAATTTAAGTAAAAAACGATGAAGAGCCCATGCGAAATCCATAAGCTGTAGCCCGGTCATTATGTATCAAACTGCTGAAGAAGCAAAGAAGTTTACAAAAATTTTCGAATTAAATTTCTATTTTTTTAGGCTATTGGCATTATTGGACTACAACCTATTTATAAAATCCGCTGATACTAACGGTATAATTAATATCTAAAAACTCGAGCTCGAATTCGAATATAAGTAATATTCCAAGAAAGAGAGGAAAGACAAATATTTGGTAAATATAGTGGTAGTTCTATATATAATATATAAAGAACACAATATTTAACGATCTTAAATGCAATCGATACAATCAACTCTAAATATAGATAAACTATCACAGAACTGTTAGAGATTGCTGTAGATCTGTGAAGAACGATCGGTAGGGATGGTACCTAAGTGCGATTAGAGACCTCACTGTAGATAGATACATATACGGTTGGTGAATTGGTTCAAAGTGTGTACATGTGTATTAACTGTAAGACGCATACACATCTAACTGATAGTTGGAAGTTGATTTTTCGAAATATTGCCTGAGTACGCTTCTCTGAACGCTTTTTAACAAAACTTGAATCCTCAGCCGGGAACTACATTTTAATACAGATCGTTGAAGTGTCGCATTTCAAAAAAGTAGAACTTTTTCAATCATCCAAAAGGACCACTTTGTTGGGGGGACCCCGAGTTTTATAGGTTCTTCTAACTTGAATAATACAACATAAAAAAAGTATACTGTTAGAAGCGATCCAAAAAAAACCGTTTTTATTAAAGTGTTGAAGTTTTACGAGTCAATGATTATCCATTTTGTACTAAAATAAAATATTACGCGCTCTTAAAAATCGGGTGAGTCGACCATATATGAAATTATATATTAATACAGTTATCGATTTCTAAATTCTTGTTAAACTTTATACGCTGACATATCACTGAGCTAAAATTAACCACGCGGTCACTTGTAACACTTCGTGGTTCTTAAATTTGAAAACAGCAAACTTTTTCAAGTCACTAAACTTTGGTTGTGTGATTCGTTTGCGCACTCAAATAACAATGACACTGAAAACGAACTTTCTAGTTCGTGGAAAGCCAACTCAATGAGCTAGATATGAAAACTCGCTCAGACACACATACACACACATGCGTGACTGATTGTTATTGTTGCGGCCAGTTTCAACTGCTGTTGTTGACAAGTGGAACAATGATGGTGTTTCGCCGCCATCTGTTGGTGTTGCCGAGCCTTGCTAAGCCACAGCGCCGCTACACAAGAGTAGCAGCGAATTCTTTTCTACCAAACAAATGCTAACAACAACAACAACAATAGCATTCAATATATGTAGAACTCAGCAATGCAATTGAGGCTGCTGCGCCAGGCGGTTTAGTTGTTTTAACAATGATGGAAATGCGAGTGCAGCAAATAAACGAGGAGTGATTGTTGTACTATAGAAATTGCTGCTGCTAAAATGCACTAAAACATTCACTCATTTACATACATATGTATATGTACATTGCAACAACACTTGGCTGCTTGTTGGCAACTACACTTCCAGCGGTGTTAACTAGGCCAACCTCGCTGCATGGCAGAGTTGGTCAAAAGCGTGATGTCAGGAAAATGTGCTAACACTGCATTATACTAGTGAGCCCATTCTGCTCGTAATATACAAGTATACGCGTTAAAAGCGTGTGTATTTGCGGGATTTTTATCCGCGTTTCCGTTTAGTAAATGAGCAGTAGCAAGCATTTTTATTTGTTTTGGCGTCAATTGCCCGAGTCTCATTAACACAACAACGAGTATGCGCAAACAAAAATAAAAACAAGAAAAAACTTTAGCTTCCAAATACAAAATATTACCTAGAAGAACTTGATAGATATTGATCCTATCGGAACAATTTCTTCGGAGATTGCTCCATTGCCTTGGACAATAACAGATGTCAAACTTCTTGCAGATGAAAAGTGAAAATGAAAAAGTTTTCCATACAAGCACTTCATTCCGATAGTCTATAAGCAGCATCTTGGTGAGAAAAGGACGAGAGCGTAATTTCATAATAATATCTCAAAAACGGGGGGACTAATTCGCATATATACAGACAGACCAGCATAGCTTAAACGACTCAGTTCGTCAAGCTGATCATTTATATATATATTTTATAAGCCCTCAGACGATATCGAGCTTTTTCATGATAAGTCTAATATGGATTGCCTGACTATAACTGCTTGCACTTGCATAGTCGACCCGAGGTAAATCGCAAAAAGTTTAGTAGGATTTTAAGGTCATTGTCCACTTGATAAGGTTAGAACCTCCACAAGAACATAAATGATAAAATAATTTCCGACTCCGCGTGGGCGTATGCGCTTCTTATTTTTAGAAAGAAAATCGCGCTGTGAACTATATTCAATGAGACTTCACCTTTTATTGCTACCGCAGAAATTTGGTTTAACGAGTTTCAAGCTTATGCAAACCTTCATATAATTCGGTCGGTGTGCAGGACATCTTTGCGAATCCCCAGCCTTCAGCCTGATGAGATGGAATATATTTCACGGCACCCATTGCTCCAACTTAAGAGACATTGGGCAGGAGGTATGGACAAAAGGTATTTCACCAAATTCACTGAGTTGATGGATAAGGCTTAATTTGGTTACCACCCGGGAGAATAATTGGCCTAATGATAGCCTAAGTCCAACCGCATGTGGTCTGGCCTTCTCGCCTCCCTTTGTAACCAACCAACCAACCATATACCTAAATATGTTGTAAGCACCAGTTATGAAATAATAAATAATAAGTAAAGGCATCATAAATCTGATCACTTTGTAAGACATCCACGTAACGAACTTGCTAAGTAGACTACTTCTTTGTCATATTTTCGGCACAATTGATTCATTTATCATATTATTACTCCATAAAATTATTCATTGTCCTGTTCAATTAACACCTATTTAAGTTTAAGCGAGTCACTTAAACCCCCAATAAAAGAATGTAGAAATCAAATGGACTGCAACGAAAGCAATTTGGAATACAATTGCTCTAACTGTGATGTGGATGTGGTCAGGTGTGTCACCTGCTAGCCAACAACAAGTACACGGACACGGACAAACAAGTATCGATATGCAGGACATGAAAATTTCAGTAGCAGCAACAACAAGAATAACAACAACAACAACTTGAAATACATGTGCTGCGTATTGTATGCGTGCAATTGGTACTAATTGAATTGCATGTGTAAGCATCAGCTCTGCACATTGCCACTTTGCTAACGGCACGGATTCACTACATGCCAGCACCAACACGCATACTAACACACACGCATACGTACACAACCAGCGTACATACATACATAGCAGCTCGTGTACACGTGTGTGTTGTGTGCGATTTCGGCAGCGTGCAGGCATTTGCATAAGTGTCAAGTGCATAACAAAAGAGCTTTGCTAACTGTACACATATACACATACCTTTCTGCAGATATGTATGCGTGTATGCATGTGCCATTTGCGTGGCACGTGCGTTTATGTGCGACTATGTTTGCATTCGTTGCAGTTAATTAGCTGCCGACAATTGCTATTAGCCGCTCTAAGCCTGAAGGGGAAGGTGTGTGTGTGTGCGAGTGCGATGAACAAAAGAATAGAATTGATTATTAGGTATAGCTAGTTGGTCTTAGTGGTAGAGACGGAAGCAAATAAATAGAGGGAATTATTTCACAAGCTGGTAAATTCATAAAAAATATGAAATTATTTTCAATATACATCTGTGGACGTAGACTCGAACCAAAGTATTCGAAAAAGATATCAGTTGCTTATTTTTTTCGCAGTAAGTATTGCATTGAGGTCTGAAAATAAAAAAGTCGCTGGGGCTATTTAAAAGCTGGGTAGATATATGACATGAGAAGTTCTTTTAAGTCCAGCGCATTCGGAGATTTCTATAAACTGTGACCGCTATCGGATTTCAAAGAAACATTTACCTCAAAAGGTGTACTATTTATATTATATAATATAATATATGCGTTTGTGTAAATAACGCGACCCCAAAGCTACCTAGCATGTGGTATATAGTAATATACCATAACAATAGGAAAACGTCCCTCATTTTACATACATATGCATATTATTATATTGTATTATAATTTGTTGCAAATGGTTAGGCAGACTCAAAAAGATAGGAATACTCCCTATTTCGACTAAATTGCTCAGTAAATTATAGACATTTAATAATTTAATATTTATTGTGAACCTGATATTATTTTGAAAATATGGAAGATATGCACTTTAATTGATATGGAAAATATACACTGTTCTCTGATAATCTTCAATATGAGATTTTGGTATAACAAAAGTGAGTTAGAAGTTAGGGTAAGTCCTATAATTGTTCAACTAGATGAGAATCATTTGAGAATTTCATGTTTAGACAAACAAAGCGTTTTGAACCCTTTAAAAATAATTATTTCATTTCCATACGAGAGATTCTCATTGACAGCTGTTCAACAGTTCACCTTGAAATCCACGATGTATCTGCCTTGATTTTTGCAAAGACAAAATGGTCAAGGCGAATATGTTGAGATCATTATACATATTTGTTTTCCAAACTACCTCCACATCTAGCATTGGGTAAGATTTTTAACCTTATCATCGGGTCACCGAGTGGATAATGATCCGTCGAAAACCCGACAACCAGGAATTGTTCAATCTTGCTGTGCGCGAAAAGCTGAAGGTTGAACGATCTTGGGACTGGTTAAGTAGTCGTTGTTGACTTTCACTATGCCCAGAGCTGTAATCATCCGGTAGCAAGTCGTATGGAGTCAACGTAACTTCGACCTGTTGCTATTCTACTAGCAGGGAGACTGACATGCTTTTGCTTGAAAGCCCTTCGGCCGTACAATTTTATGCAATTCCGTGGAGGTCTGGAAACTAGCCATATAATAAAGCAACTCGCCGACACTTGTAGTGAAGCCTGCAATCGGAGTGGATAGTTCAGTTTATACATAACTGAATCTTTATCAAACAGCTGACAATTAAACTGAATTTGTTTTTTTATCTCGGACTCGAAGCTTACGTACCATAACAACTCCATATTATGGTTTTCAAATCTCAGGGCCATAAGCGTTGTAAGTCTCCGTGTTATAAAGTGCAAACGTACATGAGTTATCACTACAGATGTTACTGAAATTCCATTTGTCAGCTTTCTGACTACTTTAAGTGGTGCTTCCAATTTTAAATAACTTTTTGAAGAAAGTTGAAAATTTCATGCTTGCAAAACCAAGTACATTAGTTTGATAGCAATCTTTTCATATATTGCTCTGGGATTCTAATAACTTCCAAACTCTGAACTAAACTCTAGTGGCTCCATCTATATGTCGACTAGTGCGTTAGAATTTGCTATCGTTTATCGGCTTACAGTAAAAATTTTATGACATTTCATCTATTGGTAGTGAAGTTATTGTGTTTTAAGTGTCAGTATGTTTTTGTCATCGCTGCGAAAATGAGCTTCGAACAAAGAGCCAACATTAAATTTTGTTTTAAAATTGGTAAAACCTTTACCGAAACGTTTCAGTTTGAGTGGTTTCAACGTTTTCAAAGTGGTCGTGAGGACATAAATGAGAAATGAGCCGAAACCCAAAAAATCGCGCCTGGAGAAGTCAAAAGTGAAGACAATGCTGATTTGTTTTTATGATTCCATGGGTATTGTCCACAAAGAATTTGTTCCACCCGGCTAAAACGTTAATGCGGTATTCTACCTTGGAGTTTTGAAGCGTTTGGTGCGCCGTATTCGACGTGTTCGGCCCGAATATCGCGAAGATGGAAGTTGGCGTTTGTTGCACGATAATGCGCCGTCTCATCGATCGACGCTTGTGGCCGATTATTTGACCAAAAATCACATTTTAACAATCAACCACTCCCCGCATTTATCTGACATGGCACCGTGCGACCTCTACCTTTTCGGAAAAATGCATTTGCCGATAAAAGGAAAGCGTTATGCAGACGTGGAGGCCATTCAAAAGGCTTGCACCGGCATATTGGCGGCCATACCGGGCAACGAGCTAAAACACTCGTTCGACATGCTTTTGGACTGTGCAAAAAGGTGTATTAAAGCAGAAGGAGACTATTTGGAATAAAATTAATTGATTTTGCCGATAAAACCATTTATTCTGTCTTTTTTTATTTAAGTTCTGTTTACTTTGGAACGCA